CCCAAAGCAGAGACAAGCAAGGGGAAGGGGAAGAAAAAAGCCAATGTAAAGAGCAGCAGTAGCAGTGGCGCCACTTACAAGCAGGAGACAAGTCCCACAGGCAGCCAGGCGACCACAAGTAGTGCCGGGAGCGTGAGCGAGCACGCAGCGCTGCACACTGCGTCTGCACCGATCGCTTCCTCATCGCACACCCAGCTATCGTCAAGAGCTGGCCTTGTGATGGGTCAGCCAGTCTCACCTATCGCGTTGCTTCCCCTCGTTGATTCTGTTCAAATCTCAGAAAACGCGACGGGCATTGTCCCATCTTCTCATCATCACGATCGACACAGCCGGGCAGATTCCGACGAGGACCGGGTGCCCACACGTACGCCCCACGCAGAAGCTTTTGGAGCACTTGATCCAACCGATATCGAGCACTACATGTCCAGGGCCAATCGTCCGAATACCGACTCCGGTCCATCGCTTCGCGCACGCTTCTGGCGTGCGATCCGTGGCACTCCGAGGGCAGAGGGTCCGTCGTCTTCCGCCGGCCTATACCAGCCACCATGGATCATCACTGCTGGGCGTGAGTTGCAAGAGGAGAACGACCGAGTCATCAATGATCTCAACAATTCCTTCAGGGATGTTGGTCTCCTCCATACTCAACCGCACAAGCCCGGCTCCAAATCAATGTCTAAGCGAAAGCATGGCCCAGACGTCCTTGATCAGGTTCCCGATGACTGTTTTTACATGCTTCCTTCCTCTTTGGGTCGGCGAGGTCAGTCATCAGGACTGCTGAGGCTGACGGGAGTGAGGCATCGACGACTACAACCGCTCCGTCGGCAGCCATTTTACCTGAGAACCGGCATTACCTCCTTGTATGGTATGTGCCATGGGATGATGATCCAAAACGGAAGGATGCCGAACAACAAGCACAGACGAAGAAATCGAAGCACACGTCACAGACAAGTTCCGACAGTAGCCAAGACGCAGAGCCTACTTCCTGTGTGCCTTACCTCTTTCCGCGTTATTGCTCGTGTCGTGCACTATGATGACCTCCGTCACTCGGGTGTGCGCGCCCCCGGTGTAGGTCTTGCGATCAGCGGTCCTGCCTGGGAGGCGATGAATGATTTTGACCTCATGTTCGCCAGCGGATCCCAGGATCGGAGGTTGACTGATGCAGTCATATGTCATTGTCGTGGTCGGCAAAAGGATTCTTATTTGATCCAGAGGGTTTGACGCGGTTAGGGACTCTTGCTACGAAGGAAACCTTGGAAGCAACATCAGACGCAGATGATCCAATGTCCAACTTCTCCCTAACGACCATTAGGTAAAGCTGCTGCTGAGATGATTTGGCTGGGCTGCCTCGCTGTGACTAGCTTTGGCGCCGGACATAGCACGTATCGTCCGTAACATCATGCGTGCATGGTCTTCCGTACATTTAACACTATCCTCCACTCACCACTCTGTCAGCTTAGCCTAGTTCTTACGTTGCAGTTCTACATGCTGTATACCGCCATTTATGCCGTCGATGCTTAGTATCGTACAAACAATGAACAGAAAGGGCGACATTGATTGAGCTGCGTAGTCCACGCACATCATGGATATCAATCCTGTCGCATGACCGACAACGGAAGGCGCTGAGCTAATTACCGCCGCAAATGGATAACTCCTTCATCTCTTGCAGGACACCTTCAACCTGGACATTTCGAGTCAGCTCGAATGAGCCACCTCGACGTTGCGGGGCGACGCACCTGAGCATCCAGCTGGCCAGCAGCGTAGTCATCTCGCACGTTGTCCGCAAAATATCTGAAGGACTTTGATATTTGACAGCAAGCTTTCAATAAAAGGCTTACCTCCTGAACAGCGCTGAGTTTCTCGTAGCCCTCCTCCGCAAATTTGCATTGCATGCGTATCATAGCTTCAAAGCTAGGGTCAAAGTATGGGACACGGAGGTCCAGTAGTTGTGGGAGTTCCCCTATAAGCTGATCGTTGAGCAACTCGAATACCTCCTTTGCGTCATCGTGCTCTTGTTGTGCCTTGATTGTGATGAGCTGGAAACAAGAAATACCAGGCAAGTGGAGTAGGCGTACCTTCGGCAATTTCGTAGGGTCATCGCTTGGCTTCTCTATCACCTTACGGAGTTTGCTTCTCGCTGCATCGTAGTCAAGCAGCTTGAAGATTAACTCGTTAGAAAGAGTTCAGAGGCTGCGTCGAAATCATACGACACCTTCTTATTCCGCTTTGATATATGTTCGTTGATGATAGGGAAATAAGCATTCATCTTCCCCAGGGGCTCCATGATAGTTGTGCGGTAGGGTGCCTCCTGCAGGGAAGCTACGGGTCAGTACAGATACCGTGGCGTAAAAAGAAAGAAAAGTCGTACTAATTCTCTCTGTACACTTGCATCCAGATCTTGAACAGCGTTCTTGAAAGCGTGGCTGGCCATTGCGCTATCGGAGGTGCGATCGGCGGCTCCGTAGAAGGATTCGATCGTTTCCGCCAATCGCGCCTGGGCAGCAGTCATCGCTAGTTGAAGTATCGGTACTCTTCGTCCGTCCTGGAAAGATCCATCTCGACGTACCTCTCATAGCGTCATTGTAGCTCTTGCTATCCTTCTGCAAGGCTTGGCATTCCTTCTCGAAACTGAAGCGGTCAGGTCAAGCGCAGTAAAGTGTCACGTCAAACTCACGCTCTGTACTTTGATTCTTCGTCAGCGAACTCTCGATCTACTGTACGTTCGATCTGACCAGTTTTTTGCAAGACCTGCGCATCGAAAACACTGAATCAGCTGCGTTGTCACTGGTGCGGCCAGTGTTCTTGGATTGCGTACTGTCGTTCCTGCCCTGTTCAGGGATTTTTTGAATCTGAAAGAAGTAAAGTCATGATATTACTCCTTGAGTAGTGAAAGCAAGCCTTACCCTGTCCAACTCATGGTCTTTACAACGATGAGGTCTGACCAGAGTCCGGCAAGCGTGTGCCGCCCTCGATATTACGTAATGCAAACATACGTCACACCTGCCGCTGGCGAGGCAACAACAGGGGTAGTACCTCATCATTGGATGTGCACAACCGTCAAGGGTACACCATTGGTGTGACCTTTTTTGAACTTGGAACCATTGGCAAAAAGCTGTGTATTATCTCCCTATCAAAGCAATCCCCAGACATACTCTCCCGCAAGTCATGTCTCAACGGGATATTCACCGTACGGAGAGCTGTCGAGCGGATTTCTGGCACTGCTCACATGAGGTACTCGTTTCGGCCTAGGCGCAGCGAGACCTGCGTATCCCCCGATCCGGCCACGAATCCCGACGACAGGCTCCCAGAGGAGTCGCCGAGGCGGAAGTCTACGAAACGAAATATCACCGACTGCCAAGTGGGCGAGTACACTAGACGCCAGAAACAGAAACAGGCGTCCATTCCCTCCTCATGGGATATACCTGACTGTCGAGAAAAGGGATACTACTTTTAGAGGACGCTTGGGTAGGTCTCCTACGATTTTCGCCCCCTAGAATGCTAATGGCCTGTTGCAACCAGGATATGCATGCTTGAACACTCTTCTACGAAGTAAGAAGCCTGCAGCCGAGGCTACGTTCTGTTCGAGGACCTGTCGGTAAGTCACAGGGCTCGTTCTACCTCACCTTGACGTTATGTTTGCATGCCTATGTATCCAGCATCGAGTCAATCAAAAAGAAAGGTGTGGAATGGGTGAAGGACTTGGGCCGCAAGAATGTTGAGGATATGCTGGAGATTATCGAGTGGAATGAGCTTAACGTAAGTCAAATGATTGTTATCGATGTTCTGATGTATAGTTCTCCGCAGCACATTCGTTTTATGAGAATGTACGAGGAATCCGCTGTCGGGGGTGCTTTTGATGAACTAAGCTAAATTATCTACCATCCAGCTCGTCCAGCATGTTTCCTTTTGCTTCGCATGAAACTATATGGGTATTCGCTCGCCTACTGTGCCACCCTTCTCGCGGAGGTGGGTGCTCTGGCCGAGAAGTATGGGCACCGACTCACCGTGCACCCTGGACAATACACGCAACTGGGGTCACCACGCGAGGCGGTAGTACGGTCAAGCATCCGGGACTTGGAGTACCATTGCGAAATGTTGGATCTCATGGGCGTTGGTCCGGACGGGGTGATAGTCATCCATGGAGGAGGGGTGTATGGTGACAAGGAAGCGACCTTGGCGAGGATCAAAGAGACTATACGAGTCGACTTGTCCGAAGAACGTGCGGGATCGCTTAGTACTTGAGAATGACGAGGTCCGTCGATTCAGTTTTGCAGCGCCACCCGTTTTGACCATAGTACACTGCATAGTTGTGTTATACTGCTGCAGATCTTCTCCCGACATGCAAAGAATTGGAAGTTCCACTGGTGTTTGATTATCATCACTGATATGCTCAACCCATCTCCTGGCTTACCGCCTGTACGAATCATGGAAGAGGCGAACGAGATCTTCCGTAGGCGGGGCATAAAACCGAAGCAGCACTACAGTGAACCCAGGGAATGGTGCGGTAGGTATCATGGAGAGGAGAGCGCATTCGGATCGTTGTCAGATCCTACCACAAGGCCTGCCTGAGGATATGGGTTGGTCCAGTTTAGGCGTTTGTCCTGCCGGACGACTGAACGACTCGCCATAGACTTGATGATTGAAGCCAAAGACAAAGAACAAGCAGTTCTGCAGTTGTATAGGACGTACGACTTGTACCCCGTCAATCATGGTTCGTCCGTGCCCACTCGAACAAGGGCATCTGATCCTTGCAACGTTCCTAGAATCCCTTAGACCGCCAAAAGACAAAGAAGTTGAGGAGATCATACAAGATGATATCGACACTTGAGGCCGAAATACGGTGCAGGCCTAGAATTGGAAGGGTGTATTCTGTCGATATTTTGGATCCGACCATTGTCTTGTAGAAGTTCATTCTGTTAGCAAGCAAAGTTGAAGTTACAGGAGTGCACGGCCAGCTATCACGCTGATGCTCTGCAGAGGTCGGAAAAGATTTTAAAAAAGTTGGGCCTTGCTGGGAATCGAACCCAGGCCACTTGCATTTAAGCGCCCAAAGCAAGTATCGTACCTCTAGACTACAAGGCCGTGGTGAATAGTCACCGAGCTTTTTACTTAATAGTAAGGGTCGGAGCAGGAATTGTACCCTCGATATGGGAGGAACATGACTAATCAACACCACTCGGCACTACTCTTGCTCTCGCATCGTCGTCGCGCCTGTACATTATAATGGTTCGAATAATCATCAAGGGAGGTTCGTATTCTACCTTTCTCTTTGCACGAAGCACTACTGACAATCTCTGACAGGTGTCTGGAAGGTTAGTTTAAGCCCGCTGCGGAAATCTCGGTGGGTTGGTTACTGACTCGTAAACATGAAGAACACCGAGGACGAGGTTCCTTAAGGCTGCAATAGCCAAGTACGGGAAGAACCAATGGTAGGTGTCCCTGTGTTCAGTCGCCTTATTTACTGACTTTATGTCCTCCTCAGGGCGCGAATATCTTCTTTGCTCGTCCGGAAAACTCCCAAGCAGTGCAAAGCAAGGTGGTATGAGTGGCTGGACCCGTCAATAAAAAAGACGGAATGGTCGAAGGTACGTAGAGTTGCGGTGTACACGTATCTAATCTCACAGCTTCAACAGACGGAAGATGAGAAACTTCTCCACCTAGCAAAGCTTATGCCAACGCAGTGGCGCACGATTGCTCCCATTGTTGGCCGAACAGCTACCCAATGTTTAGAACGTTATCAGAAACTTCTAGATGAGGCTGAAGCCAAAGAAAACGAGGAGTTGGGCTTGACCGGTCCCAAGGATACCGGCCCGAGCGCGGACGATGTCAGACGGCTTCGACCAGGCGAAATTGACCCTGATCCAGAAACCAAGCCAGCCCGACCGGATCCCATTGACATGGACGAGGATGGTACGCTCAGTGATGACTGTGCATTTACACACACACCATTAACCATCTTATAGAAAAGGAGATGCTTGTCGGAAGCCCGCGCTCGTCTTGCGAACACTCAAGGCAAGAAGGCCAAGCGGAAGGCTCGCGAGCGTCAACTTGAAGAGGCCAGACGCTTAGCAGTTCTCCAGAAGAAACGCGAGTTGAAGGCCGCTGGTATCATGTAAGTTATTCCGCACGTTTTCATACAATTCACCTTTCCTGGAATTTGTCTACAGTATGCGTCATAAGACAAAGTTGAAGGGCATGGACGTAAGCAAATTGGTTTCTTTTTATTACACTCATGCTAAACTCACTGTCGCGCAGTATAATGCTGACATCCCGTTCGAAAAGAAGGCGGCACCGGGTTTCTACGATACGTCGGAAGAACAAGCTCGTGTCACTTCTGCTCCCATCGGCCAATCCCTGCGACGCCTGGAGAATAAGCGTAAAACCGACGATGAAGAAGCTGAGCGCCGAAAACGACAGCGTCGCAAGTGAAAAAGAAGGTCAGGGTTCAGTTCATCAGACGAAATTCGTTCCTGCGCGTGATGCGCAAATCCAGAAGTTAAAGGAGGCGGATAGCATCGGTCGGCGGAGAAAGTTGGAGCTACCAGGTGCACAGGTGGGCGAGGCTGAGCTGGAGGAGATCGTCAAAATTGGGCAGACAGGAGAAAATGCGAAAGCTTTGGTTAATGGAGGAAGTGAGGCGACGTCTAAGCTTCTGGGCGAGTACGAGGGACTGGATGGTGCTAAAATGGCGCGCACGCCGCGGACTGCTCCACAACGTGAAGCCCTTCCTTCGATATCTTTTGAAATACGACTGACCAGTGACTCAGAGGATAATGTCATGATGGAGGCTCGCAACTTGCGTAACATGACCATAGCACAAACTCCCCTTTTGGGCGATGAAAATACTCCATTACACACGACTGGCGACGGCACAGGCTTTGAAGGCGCCACTCCCCGCCACCAGGTTGCCTTCACGCCTAACCCTCTTGCAACCCCACGGTTCCGATGATGTCATTGACGGCAAGTCCATGGCTGGTGCAACACCTTTGCGCACCCCTATGCGGGACAACCTCAGTATCAATCCGGAGACTGGTATGGTTACAGGTGGCGAAACACCTCGAGAGCAACGGCTCCGCACTGATTCTGCGAAGCGTGCGCTCAAGGCAGGGTTCATGAGCTTGCCGAAACCAGAGAACAACTTCGAGTTGCTCGTACCCGAGGACGAGGAGGAAGAACCAACAGAGCTGGTCCCTGCCATTGAGGAAGATGCTGCACAGCGGGACGCCCGGCTGAAACGCGTGCGCGAGGAGGAAGAGCGGAAGGCACTGGCAAGACGATCGAAAGTTATCCAGCTTGGTCTTCCTCGGCCAGCCCGGGTTAATGTGGAGCAGCTAATGAGTAACCTCAGTCTTGAAACGGAGGATGACCTCGCGGAAGCAAAGAAACTAATTAATGCAGAAGTTGTCGAGTCTCATACTCCACGATTCTATCGTTCACCCTCTTCCCGGTACCAATCTTCCCGGCGGTACCGTTTCTTCCTACGTCTTACCGCCGGACGAGGACTTAGCCCGAGCCAAATCCATGGTTCACTTCGAACTCGCTACTTCTATCGGCTTCCCGGCCTGCTTCCGAAGCTCAAGTAAAAGAGGGACTTCAGACCCTGTCCAAGAACGAAGAAGTTGACGAGACCTGTTCATGGGCACATCAACGGCAACGACTAGCGTTCAACCCCCACAGTAAAATCTGGGTTGACCCCCAGAGTCTCTCTCCTGAAGACCGTAGTGGCTGGGTACACTTCACTACTCAAGGACTGCAGGGAGCAGATGACGAAGGAAGACAGCAAGACTTCCAAGATCGAGAAGAAGCTGGGTATAACACTTGGTGGCTACCAAGTGCGATCGAAGGCGTTGGTAAAGCGAGTTACCGACGCGTTCGACGAACTAGTGAAGACGAAGTTCGACTACGAAAGCTTCTCGAGGCTGGCATCGAACGAGGCAGTAGCTGGCCCTCGTAGAGTGGGGTCGCTCAAAGAAGAAGTTGAGATTCTTGCACGTCGTGAAAGGTTACTGCAGGAGCGGTATGCAGAGTTGGAACGAGCGCGGCAGGGATGCAGAGTCGAGGGTGGCAGCACTGGAGGAGAAACTTATGGAGGAGGCGGAGGCGCTGAACGAGGCTGCTCTTGCAGAAGTGGATGTCGGTGCATGATTGACCTGATTTTCTTATGCAACTATGTATTGGTGGACCTACGATCGAGCGATCTGTACTTTACCTATCGTCGATGCCAATATTACAGTGACTACTCGATTGGCGCTGGAGTAGAATTCGCTCGAAATGGATATTATCATGTGGTATTACTCCGAGCATATCATGGCGATCTCCGTGCAACGAGTACGACTAATCTATCCACCATAACCCGCATCTGCCTTCTCACTGATCTAACTGTCCCTTCAACACGTCTCACTGACAGTCGCTATACTTCCGTCGGACGATGTCTTGGCAAGGTGCGTCGAGGCTTCTCTATTCAATCGTGATGACCAGAATGATAACGTCAAACAATAACCTTTTACAACAGCGTATGTTGACAATAACCTGGTCGGGAGCGGAAAAGTCTCCAAAGCTGCGATCATAGGGCAAGCCGGTGGTGTGTGGGCAGGCGTCGCCCGGTTACAATGTGAGTGCACCCTCTTCCTCGACGCCCTGTCATAGGGTGGTAGATCAGTTTATCTTTCGCTGTTCGCCGCTTGGAATATAGCTCTCCCCAGCAGAACAGAAGGCCATCGTTAATGCATTCAAAAACCTTGGAGAGGCACAGGCGCACGGTGTGCGTCTTGCAGGACGTAAGTTCTTTGTCCTGAGCGCGGATAGGCGATCAAATCCTGGGAAAGGACAAGGCAAGTAGTTGTTTTCCTCGCTGGGTTCGGTGGGTTTCAAGTAACCGACATAGGCCGATGGCTGTACCATCGTCAAAACGAAGCAAGCCATCCTCGTCACCGAGTACGCAGCCCCGATCCAACACCCGGAATCTGTCCCCATCGTAGTGGCCTTGGCAGATTATCTCAAGAGCGTAAACTACTAAACCTTTTAGTCGGATAGGAGTGTAGTTGCACGACGTGAGTATCCAGCGGCCCTACGATTCTGCAAGAGGTGAATTGGTATGGGTTGCGTGCTACATCTGTATAGATATCCTTGTACTCTGCCTCGATTGGAACGAACATGTTTCACACACATAGCAGTATCGACTTTGGAGGGCCGAAGTGGTTTTTATCCGATTGCCGGATGCTCGTTTGATGGTATCTTTGATCGCCATCGCGCTGATCACTTCAAGCTACGGGTTATTGAAGTGTCCCGCGCACAAAGCTCTAACTTCTGTCCTTCATGGTCATTCATGCCTGCCTGGATCTCAGTATTGAGGTACTTGGGGAGCTCGACTTTTGTTGTTCCCTGCCCTTCCGCTGCGTAGGACCTTTAGACAATGACCTATTGGCACGATCCAATGAGACGTACGCGTTGCGTGCCAGAAATAAATGACAAGTCCGGAAATCACGATCGCAAAGGCGACGAAGTATAGCCAGTACGGCGAGTAACGCTGAAGATGTGTGGTTACTGATGTAGATTCATATCTGCGGAGTTATCATAACATACGAAGAGGAAAAGACCTGCATTCGACTCAGCGACGGTAAGAGTAGGGAACGAAGAAACATACCAAATAGCAACCCGTAGAAGTCACTGGTGAGCAGTGAGATATTAAAGTACGGCGATGAAGCCACGCGGAATAGCATCATCTGTAGCGTGTATATGATGAATACTGCTGAAGATTTAATGTGACTATAACAGCGAACTTAGTATCACGGAGAGAGACCTACAAATCGTGTTCCCCATCAAGAGTCCAGCTGCGTGAACTGGCATCCCATCAGTGTCCAGGTGTTTGTAGACGAGAGTCGTACCTGTAGCTCCATCCCATGTGGAAGTTTTCCACTTTTGACGTTCGAGGATCAAGGATTGCACGGAGCTCGCCACCATACCCCATAGACCCATCTGTCCCAGAACCTGGGCATTCCTCCCGTTATTCCTCGAGAAAACGGTTCTTTTCGAGCAGTTGCACTTGCCTCATATAACGGTGAGCGTCGTACGTAAAACTCTTC